GGGGACAGGTGCGCGCGGCGCGGGCCGCCCGGGGCCGACCCGAGCGCGGGGACCAAGCTGCCCCTTTCGTTGCCCGGCCGTTTCAGCGCTCGCACGCCGGCGCCCGAGTGAGGTTATCCCGATACTAGCGTCGGGGCAAAGAAGACAGCCTTTTTTCCATAGTTACGCATAGGGAATGACGTTGGGGGGGGGGGGGCGGTAAGGTGCTGCCTTTCTTTTAAAGTACAACAATCTATATTTACATACGTCTAGGTGTACTTGTAGATGCACTGAAATAATTCTGAAAGGAGGCATAAGAAATTAGTAATGATGGTAACCTTCGGGGAGAAAAACCGAGTATACCGACCCAGGTCAGGTGAAGGAAGATGTTTTCACTGTGTACTGTTTAGTCTGGTTTGGATTTTATTCTTGAAAAACCACGCTCCTTTGTAACATTCCCACCTCAAGTAGAATATGACAACAGCAAACCCACATCCCCTTTCTCCCCACAGCACAGCCTCATCCTGTGTTCCTTTGATTCTGCCCCTCAGGGTCTACCTCTGGGTCCCTTCTACCTCTTCTCAGAATGAGACAGCTTTTAGCTCCAAATTCCATCTGTCCTTTGGATTGCCCTTGAGTCTGGTGAAAATTTATTTACTCTAACCTTTATTATTTTGAAATCTGGCTGTTCAGAGAGCTACATAGAACTTGAGAAAAAATGCAGTCTGTATGTTCTTCTCCAGTTGAGGATTTTTGCCGATCAGAACAGTTTTACTATGTTTCAAAGTATGGGAATTCTGATTTTCTTCAGGGATTAATCTCTTATTGACATTGTTATGTGAGTTTTTTAGAAGGAGAGGATATTTACTGCTGTAATGATTAGAGAAAATAAATTAAAGCTTTCATAAGCCCCACTGTAAGGCTAACGTTTGTTTAGCCGAGCACTCATACTCTAATACCTTTTAAAGTAAAATATTTTACAGTTAGATGCCAGACATCTTAAGTATCCTAGTAATTTATTTAATTGTTATACTCTAATTAGCAGGAACAAATGCTACACATGTTGTTTGTGTTAAATAGATTAGAGTGAAATTGCATCACAATGTAAGTCTGACACCTTAAAGAGAAGCAATTAGTTTTATGGTTGTTTTGTTTTTAATGCATTTAAAATAAAGTGGCCGAAGTTAATTTAATGAGTGTATGTGCAACCTCCCACAGCTTAAAATTTTGTTCCAAGGGCATCCTTAACTTCAGTGCCTGACTGCCTATGGCTTTCATTTTTCTTACATGCATCATATTAAAAAAGAAAAAGTAATGGCTAGAAAATATTCCACGGAAGTTCCTTGTTTTCATCTATTAGTCAATGCATGAACAATGAAGCTGATTATTATTTTGTTTGGGAAGGCACTGAGCTGAGATCTAGCTGAGCTCTCGGAAAGATAACATTTTCTCCAGATTGAGCGAAAAACTGGTAGAATAGTAACCATTAGGTTCTGGTTGCATTATAAATTTGTTCTAGTAACATTCATATTTAGATAGTGCCCTTTGTTTTATGCGCTTACCGGTAAAAATAACTGTTACCACAAAAACCAGTTTTTACATCTCTGAATCTATTAGTTTTCCTTCTCTGTGGCAGGTGTCTTGGCGGTGACCAAGGTCAGCCAATATGCTTTGTAAATGAGTTATAAATGATACCAATTGAAGGGTGTGCCTATCAATTAGTTCTCCTTGTGGGCTTCTTATTTATGGTTTTGATGGATCTAGCTTGGTTCTCAGAAATAGAATGTTGAACCCCAGTTTGTTTAGCCAGCAGTACAGAACCAATCACTGTGAATTTGAACTTGTATTACATTGCAAAATAAGAGATTTATGGTGTAACTTGAATTCCTTGTCAGTGATGAATGTAACTGAGATCACTTGTTACAAGGAACTTTTATAACCCGTTCACCTTCATTTCACATGTTTATGGGGACTGGCTTCACTTATGATCTGCAGTTGACAGTCGTAAAGTTCTTTGTTAATAATGGCAAATTCTGATAACAAGTTTGCTTCACATTGGCTCCAAATTCCACTAGAAACTGTCATAAACGTCCTGTTTATAAAATGAACCTTCCTGTCCCTAGTTTACTTATTTTACATTTATGATGAGAAAGGAGTGCTCTCCTAGGAAATTATTTTCTTTGAACCATAAAGAAAAAGAAAGAAAAGAAGCCCCGATATGTAAGATTTTATATGTTTTCATCATTTTAGCAAAGCAGTTCCGCAAATAGTTCAGCCAAGCATATTCATTTCAACCAAAAGTCAAACTGATTGTTTCTTAGCACTGACTTCTTAAAAATATTGTAGTGCTAAGAGGCTTACCAGTGTCTCTTTTTTAAAAATAATTTGTCTAGAAAGAGTCATACTAAAGTAATACAACAAAATGTGAATTGTAAATGCAAAATGCAATTTTTTCTTTTAAATTTGCCAGCAAAGGATTTGTAAATCTCTGTCCTTTAATCTGTGAATATTCAATACATGCTCAATTTATATTTTTATTGTCCATTCTTTACAACTTCTTTTCTTAAATGAATTGGCATAGCTAACTTCCCTGAATTCTGTAACATTCAACTTGCTTTGGTCCTTAGATTTTCCCCATAGCTTTTTTTACTGAAGTTCTGGTACTGTTTTTTAGTTGTCTATCTAGATAATTTAAAAAACAAATTTAGATTTTTGCCATTCTGGAGGGGAACTTATACTAATTTAAATTCTCATTCTTTATAATTCACACATAATAATTTAGAGGAAATAAATTCCATTTAAAGATGTTAAAGGATGGGCATAAAGAGGACACGGAAATTGGAGTGACAGTGCCAGACAGTTGGCCTTTTCTGATAGTACCATTTAACCCTTTATATGAACAAAAATTGAGTACCATTCTGACAGGGTAAATAATATGTATCAGTATCACTTATATAAGACAATGCCAGTATTAAAACAATGCCATAAAATTTGCTTATTGTTCATAAAATGAATAGTACAAACATTCAGGCAGCAGGCAATCATGATCATTATGGAATGTATTAAAATATATTTCCAAAAATTTTGTACATTTTCCAAAATCCATTTCTATTAATGTATTTATCAGCCCTTCTAAAGCTTCTGGTTTATTTCTCTATGCATATCTGAGAAGTAGACCTGATTGTCTCCAGTTTTTAGGTGACTCAGACACTGCCCAAAGCCACTGAACACATTGGCAGGCTGTTTGTGATTGCATTTCATGACTCTTAATACCTGAGACCTGACAACAGTGAGTGCAGTGATTGGCCAACATTGTGACTGCTTCCTGGTTATTCTCTAATCTACGCTAAGGTGCTGGAGCAAATCAAACGTATGTATGGGATCGAGCACACTATGTAAAACTCAAGTTGTTTGGTCCACGAAGGTCAACCTAATTACACTTGAAATTTTTTTCTCAAGGGACCTCTTATTTATAATAACCAGGTACATGCTTGTTGATGACAGGGACATGATACGTTGATGCATATGTGTCAAATATACATAAAAATTACTTATATCTGTACACTTACTTTCTTGTGCTGTTTTCTAGCCTTCCTCCCGGCGGCTTGGATTGTCCTGTGCCAACTGTCACACCACCACCACCACTTTGTGGCGCAGAAACGCTGAGGGCGAACCCGTGTGCAATGCTTGTGGACTCTACATGAAACTCCATGGGGTGCGCCACACATTCTGCTCATGCATATACACATTTCATATCTTGTTTGTACATGGTTTCAGTTAAGAAAAAAATCTGCAAAGGAGAGGGGATGAAAGTGAAAAATCTGATTTTCTATGTGCACATTATTGAATCTAGGATGCTATTAATTAAAATATAACTATTATGTACCAGTAAGAAACAAAAAATGCTGCCAATTAAACTATCACCACACATCCATTGTAAGACATCTCAATTTTAGAAATACTTAAATGTGAAAAATGTGCATTTTAGAATTGATAACATGGTAATGACCCCCTTTTTTAAAAACTGCACACTCTAAGAGACAAAAAAAGCATGGAACCAACTAGAAAGGCACAGTAACTAATTTATGCCTTAATTTCTTGAATGCAATCAAATGCGTTTATAGAAAGGAGTAATAATGTATTTGGCAGTTTTAGTTAGAAAGATTGTATACTTCATTTTAAGGGTAGCACAAAATATTATAAACATGTCGATCTTGAAAAGGAAAATAACCTTGTATATGTAGGAAGAAGAGAATTACCTGATCTCTTTGAAGTAAAAATATGTATTCATTAGTTTTACTCTATTATAATAGAAGTTGTTTGAAACAGTAAACATTAAGTTGAATCAGTCTCCCTAGCAAATCACCCATTTTCCCTGAAGGAATCTCTGCATTTGATGGGGAAAGTGTAGTCTCCATGCAGGAATCTCTGCATTTGATGGGGAAAGTGTAGTCTCCATGCAGTTGGACTCTATTGAGTATGTATAAAAATTGGATTGAAATTTATGCCAAGTTCTTTTAAATGAGGGCTTTCAGTACTGATGTTGGGTCTTTAGTTAAAGTTTGTTTTTTCTTCAATATAATATTTATTAAACTTACGGCATGGCCTATGTGAACATATTTTTTAGGTGCCTCGACCGCTTGCTATGAAAAAAGAGGGAATTCAAACCAGGAAACGAAAACCTAAGAACATAAATAAGTCAAAGGCTTGCTCTGGTAAATATAATAAAATGCTATTTGATTGTAAAGTATGCCAACCTTAACAGTAGTGTATATGTGTATTTATGAGGTTAATTTTGACTATTGCAGGTAATAGCAATAATTCTGTTCCTATGACTCCAACCTCCACCTCTTCTAACTCAGATGATTGCAGCAAAAATACTTCCCCCACAACACAACCGACAGCCTCAGGGGTAAGTGTGAAAACAGTGTAGACTCTTTCTAAGCTAGTCGGTTGCTCTCTAGTATACTATCTCAAATTTTATCTTATCTGGTAGTACAATAATCTAAACCAACAGTTCAGTTTAGTTAGCTGATACCTAAGAATAGTTTTTAGAGGAAATTACATTTCAATGTCAACAAAATGACAAACTTAAGTACTTTACAAACCTCTTAATTAAGATCTATATCATTTTTTATGGTTAAATTAACCCAAGTAAAAGCAAGAAGTTTTGGTTTGAAGTACTTCAAATTGTTTTATTTCCAGGTTTTTATCTGAGTTGCTATGTATATGTATTTCTAATGTAGATCAGAAAAACTACCAGCTCCCTGGTTTCGTATATATTCCACTCTGCCCATGACATTTAAATGGCTTTTGCTTATTGTTATCAACTCCTGCATTCTTTCTTCTCTTTTCTGCTCGTGTCTTCTCTTTCTTCTTTCCTTTTATTTTAATCATCTACCCAAAGCAAAGCTCATGGTAATGTCCTGTGCTGCTGGATTCACTGATCCTCCTTCATCCAACTGTCCTCTCCTGGGGACGCCTCGCCTTCTTCTAATGTACCTCAGCTGTGCCCAGGCTTATTTCAGCCTTTCGACAAACCTGTGAGCAATGCGGTTTGTGAGTGACTTATGCCGCAGAGTGCTGGGATGCTAGGGTCTTTGTGAAGATCCCAGAGGTGGTTTCTGTAAAGCTGATTGAAACTCAGTTTTTCTCAAGTGAAGAGCATTTTCCCACCCTAATGTTTCCCAGATTTACCTGGAATGCTCTTTAAAAATTACGGGTCTCACCCTTGACCTTGGTGAGATCCAGGGCGGGGTCTGGGCAGCAAGACTTTACAGCGTGCTCCCGATTCTTAGGATTATACTGAGAGGAGTTTAGGACGGAGCACCACCATGAAAATCCTTATTTACTTAGTAATTGTTTTCTACATTTCGTTTTACCCTATTTGGGGTACTTTAAAATACTAGAGATTCCTGGGCCCCACCCTGGATCCTCTGAGTCAGAGTCTCTGGGGGTGGGGCAAGGAAATTTGTGTTTTTGAATGAGTGCCTCAGGTGAAATCGAAACCGCTGCCCTCGAGGTGTCTTCCTACCAGGGTTTGGGAACCACAGAGTGGGTTTCTTTCCGTCTTATTTTTACCGGCTTAAGTGAACAAAAATTAAACATTTAAGACAATTTTAAACCGTGCTTAAAATTATATTTGATATTTCTTTTCGTCTTCCGACTTATCCTTTTGGGCTTTTTCTTTAATGCAACAAGAAGTTTGTTCCGCGTTGCACAAAGGAAAAAGCCTTTCAGTTGTTTTTCTTTGTTGCAGACACGTTAAGGAATGTTTCTAGACTTTGTAAGGGTGGGCTCTGGTGTACGGTGTTTTTTAACAGGGGGGTTAGATGTATCTTTAAGGATCTAAAGTGGTAAATAGAACAGTTCATTGTGGGGAAATGAAAAAGCTCAAAATTATTTATGAATATTATTGATGATGCCCTAAGTCCTGAGAAGCAATTATGTAGCTAAGTGAGGCAAAACAATGTTCTGTTTTTGCAAAGCACTGAGGGAGCAGCCAGGTTTTTGGCCTCAGTATCCGTGTGTCTGTCTCTCCTAGCTGAAATGAGGATTGCTGCCAGCTCCAAGTCACTTTTGTTGGTGACACAGTCCAACTGTGGTGACACAGTTAAGCTTGGCAAAAGCCAAATTTGAATGATAAATGGCACAGAAGTAGAGAGACTTGCCCAACAATGGGCTTTGGGGACTTGGAACCATGGTGGGTGGAGTCTGTTTTGCTCTCGTGGTTTTGTGATGTAAAATTTCAAAATTGGCTCTTTGCAAGTCCAATCAGTTGCCCTCCAGGGGAGGAACAGTGAAGAGGCAGTGACAGGGTCTTGCCCTGGCCTGTCTGGGAGAGGGACCTCGGGACTCCTACAGCTGCTCTGGTGTCCCGCCGGCTCTCACCTGGGACCCAGCACACCTTAGGCGGCTCACTGGCTAGTGCCCTTTGGCGGAGCGCTCAGTGCCCTCCTAGAGGCCAGGAGGCAAAGCAACAAGGATTTGAGAGATTGGGGGGAGTTTGAGAGCAGTTCCACACAAGCCCCCATCACTCCCGTAGCCTAGGCAGCCTCCACGGGAGACGGCTCTGTGAGCTGCAGACAGCGGGGCAGCTCTCGGGCCCAGGCAGCCTCAGAAATGCTTTCCGACAGCTTTTCCCAGTGCGCTGTGTGTGTGTGTGTGGTGGGGGATTGCCTGCCCTCCTCCTGGCTCCGCAGGCACTTGGCTGGCACGGGGTGCTCAGGTTTTCTCCCCGTGGTAAACCCATCACGGAGGCCTCCATCAGCCCCTAGCTGGCGTGGCTGTTGTGGGGAACCAGGCCTACTTGACAGAGCCTGTCTGCTAACTGCCTTTGGAGACTGTCCCCCTCCAAGAATAACTGTAGTAGACTTGAGTGGTTTCCCCAGCTTACTACCCAGGAGTGCCATTGTGTGCCCAGAGGTCCCTTAGCACTTTTCAGAGCCTTCTGTGGGTAGGCTGAGTTTTGTGCATGTGGCTGGCGTGGCAGCTGAGGAGCTGTGAAGAGCGTGCTGGAAGAGTTATCTGTGAGCAGCTGGCAGAAGCATTTGTGAAAGGTGGCTGTGTTGACAAAGATGTGTCATTTTGCCATTTTGGTCATGGTTTATGATGTTGGAGGGCAGCTGGTGTTGTGACTGACTGCTTATGGGATCTTTTGAAGTGCTGTCAGTCAGGAAAATGTTATATCCACAGAGCAAGGTTGTATCTGCTATATAGTACACGGCATCTTCATTGGCTCGGCATTTAAGCCTCCTGTGATGATGGGTCCATCTTGTTGATCTCCAGTGGCCCCTGTGACTGACATGGTGGAAATTAGTAGTGCAGAGTTATCCTAGTTTAACAGGGACAACGGAGCTACAAAACAAAGGGCAATCTCAGGCATACCCCAGTGGAGGACAGGAACTGGGGGCCATGCGTTCGTTCTTCCATTTAGAGATGTCTGTGGCAACATCACTGCTCATCCACCCTTCCTTAATGATTGTGAGTTACAGCAAGGAAGTCCAAGACTGTCACAGAAGTCCGTATCAAACTTGCTGTTCGTTTTAATCCCCTCCTGAGAAATCAGCTGTAGGAGATCACCAGTAGACATTTCCAGCAGGCTTCCTTTAAGTCCTGATGTTCCTGCCCTGCGTGTGGGCATGTTCACGTGGTGGCAGCTAGCTTGGCAGGAGCTGAGTATTCCGGAGGGAGGCACTCGTCTGCTACTGCGAGCAGGGTCTCCAGGGCTCCCTCCCCAGCAGGAACGAAGGTGTAGGCAGGATTCTTAGCACCCAGCATTCTGCATTTTTCCAGGACAAGTATCTAAGTGCCACGAAAGTCATTTTTACACTGCCCTCAAGCCTCATTTCTTTGACTTATTTGCATGTCTTAGCTTTACGTACTTGTTGCTAATTTGTGTTTTGACTAGACATGTCTGGGGAAAAAAGGAGACATTTCTTCTGATGGTCATCAGGTTGCTGACCCGGCTACCTTATGACTCAGTTTCTCTGTTGTGGGCTGTGTGTGTGTGTGTGTGTGTGTGTGTGTGTGTGTATGTGGTGTGTATGTGTTGGAGGTAGAGGGAGGGCAGTTTGTTTCCTGTATGAGATCAGGAGGATGCGAAGCTATGCAGCCTAGTATTAAAATAGCCCCTGTCTTGTTCCTTTGGAATTTTCTGTTTCTTAAGAAATGTGTTAAACTTAATTTTTGCTAGATAGTTGATTAATTTTTGTGACTTTTGAACTTAAAGATAAATTTCCCCAAAATAGTCTTTAATTCTGTCTAAAATTTTCTTATACATACATGTAGACTTACTGAAAAATGTGTATTTGGTTTACCTAAATAGATCAGATTTTCTTTGGTGTTTATATTCTTATGGATTGTAAGAATAATTAAATCTTTCATCGAATTCCATTTACTGACTGAGTTATGTTTTATAGGTTTGTTGTTGTTATTTAGGAGGGAAATATGGTAACATGTTCTATTTCAGCAATTCCCGAATAAGATTTAATAAGTAGTCTATAAATGTTCCTATCCTTCCTATGACTTGTAACTAAAAATTTGTGAAACAAGAGTATACTTTATATATATGTGTGTGTATATTATATATAATATGTATATAATATATCATATATAAACTTTATAGCTCAATTCTTAAATTTTATAGATAAAAGGTATTTTTCTAAATTTCTTTTGGGACAGAAAGGATTAATTTGGGGATGAAATTAGTAATAAGACAATGTCTGAGAATAAGAAATTGCTGAACATATTTTGCCAGCCTAAAAATAGCTCTATACATAATTATTTAAAAGAAATTAAAATCTACTTAAGTTTACATTAAAACTGCAAAGATAATGTTGAAGTCATTAAACATACAACGTTGAAATAAATAAAGATGATAATGTATCTGACTGGCCCTTGCTCCATGGTCGTTGCTCTATTTAGGAAGCGTTGTGCTATGGGAGGCCCTGTTTACAACTGAGTAAAATAGAGTTCCTGACCTCAAATTGTTCATAATGTGGTGGTAGTGACGAGGGGCGGGTATAGACGGATCTTACTGCTGGTCAGATTTGGAAGTACTTTAAATGAGTGACAAAGTTCGTTAGGAGTCCTAAAGAGGGAGCAGTGAATTCTGACTGCAAAGTTGGAAGTGGATTCAGAGAGGAGAGGAAATTTGAATTAGTTCTGTGGGATTTTTGCAGAAGAAAAATTGGGATAGAAGAAGAGCATGGGTATCTATAGTGCTTCAGGGACGTGGTTTTAGGAGTTCCGTGTGGCTGGAGTGTAGGGTGTAGGAAGCCAAAGGCGGGAGATGGGACTGGTAAAATAGGTGGAAGGGAGATATTTGAAATGTTTCAAATAAGTATCAAGTCAACCTTAAGTAGGCCCCAAACTACAGTCATTTCTAAATGACGGACTTTGTCTAACCCC